AACAAAAGAAATCTCAAGCTCCTAGTTTTTGAGCTATAACCATTTTTGTATGTCCAGATACCCCTTTTTCAGATAAATTGGGGGTCCGACTGATTGATGGGCCTGATGGATAGAGCTTAATCAGAGTTAAACAACAAAAGAAATCTGAAGCTCCATACTTTTTCCCTGTGCCATTCCACATTATTACAAATAACTTCATTTCTGGACATTTATGGTTTGATTTCTTTGTATGTATGGATCACTTGGGTTGTTACCAACATCTGGTGAAAATTTCATGTCATTAGCACCTCTAGTGATATATTTACTGAGAAAAATGTTGACGTGTTCAATACTTATTTTACCTGCTGTATATAAAAGGTATCTAAWAGAGGTTAAACCAAACTTTTCTGCACTCCTAGATACTCTAAGTACACAACTAAATGTATTTAACAGCTAAAACATGGATTTTATTTATGTCTCCTTTAAGATTGGACGTCTTCTCTTCCGAGGTGTTGAGGGTCTTTTTAGCTGTCTGTCTCTCCCCAGAATAATTAAATGCACTGGTTCATTCCTTAAATCTACTTACAATATTGTAATAACTACAAATGGCAAGAATTACAGGRTCACACTGAAAGGATGATGTGACATTATTACTAAAGCACATGGCTGCATGGCAATGTTTTCATCTTGAAAATGAAAAAAAAAACAAAGGGACTGTTGTTTAGTCTTGAATACAAAAATGACACTTCAGGGTTTTGAGGCGTTTTGCAGAACAGCTAATGTGTGTAAAGATGAATCACATTAGCAGACAGGTCTGTCCTGGTAGCACACTGCCAATCAGGTCAACAGGGGGATTTCAGCTGCTAATCTGCCAGCTGGAGGACTAGTGAACACAGCTGAAGCTCATCTGTGAAATCCAAACTACACCATAACACACACAGTCGAGATTAGTTTCACCGTGAGTTGACATGAGCTTACAACCTTCAGTGATTCAACATTTAACCACCCACAAATAATAAACAGACCACCAACTTAAGGGTTGGTAGACCCTAAATATCAACTTACATTACAAAAAAAGAGAGATAATGTGTGTTAGCCTGTTAGCTGCTATTTTAGTCGATGACAAGACTCATCAAAGCAAAACCGACATCTTTCTATAATATATTTCTTCCTAAAAATCCATGTAGCATCCGTGTTGAATGAAATGAAACATTACACACATATGAGTGACAATAATCCAAAGCTAACACAGCAGACAGCTAATAATGAGAACTGCTCAAATGATAACGTGGGTTCATTTCCCCCTGCATACCTGCTGATATCTAGCGTTTGTTTCCGCCATTCCGCTTCACGGTGTGGGATATCAACGACGGAAAAATACACACCACTAATACACTCGACTTAGACAAAATTATATAACGCTATAAAATAAAATCTCGATCCTCAGTCACAACGAGCAAGTGTTTTCTTTTGATGACAGAGATTTAAAATGGTCAATTTTCAACAGTGATCTACAAGTATACAAACTTCCGGTTAGTGTTGGAAAATCCACATTGTGGACTTTTGGGTTTTATTGTTGGAAAAACGTGTTTTTTTAATAAATTTTAAAAATGAGGGACCTAGCCTACTTGTGTACTCTGTTAATATTTAATCTTCAATAACCACTACTATATTTTGTTCCCAACAAAAGTAAATTGCTTTTATTTTGAAATTACAGTACCATAATTTCCGCTTATTTTTGCTAGCTTAGCTTCAAGTGATTGACGTCATCGCCCACAACAAATCCTTTGCTGYCCCCTTTTGGTAAAAACGTGAAACAACAGCTAATTATTGGTAAAATGGATCATTGGTGTAAAATTAAACGTCAAGCTGGTATTTATCCCCAAATCCTGGACGGATTAACTGATTTTTTTAAGTTATATCTTTTCATTGTTATAGTTTTAATATGTGTTTGAACATCTTTAAAGTGTTGTCATTTCCATCCTGGCCAAACACTTCTGAAAAATGATAGTAAAATGTATTTAATGCAACTGTTTTAATTGCATGTGTCTTTATTCTAAAAAAAGGAACAGATGAAAATAGCTTTTAAAAATACCCATCTTTCCTCATTGATATTGCTTTTCTAAAGGAGTGACTCATTCACATCAATGACTCTTTTGCACACTCAAAGTAAGGCGAACATCACACACAAAGGCAGATGGGTCTTGAGGAGTTTTATTGTATCTTTAAAATAAAAAGACAAAAACAATACCCGTGACACTTTGTAAGCTCAAGTGTTAGAGAGGTTATGTCTCAAACTGACTCCCAGTCAAGTCAGTGAGGATGCTGGTACCTGAGGAGCACAGGGTAGGTGGTGCCTATGTGCTTTTGGTTGTAGTGGTGACAAACAATCTCCACATCATACAAACTGAACTGGACTCTGACGCGCTCGTTGGGCGAGCTGAGGAAACAGAGAGTGTACAGGGCGAACTCAAACTCAGGACTGACGCCGATGAAGATGCTCCCCTTGGGCTTGATGCCGTTCTTCCAGCTGAACTGTAGAGCCAGGATGTGTTTGTTCTCRTCAGGCTGAGGCGAGGAGGAGGAGGAGGAGAGAAAAAGTAGAGCAGTGAGGAGAAACTAGCCTTTATTACTTACTTTATTATCAAACTAGCTGTTTGATAATAAAGGCACATTTTCAACAGCATGGGAAGGTGCAGGGGAAACACTCACAGAAGCTGATTATGCAAAAACAACGACGATGACTTGAATTTTAAACATTTAAAAATGATTTTAACTCCTCATTTTGGTGGCTATAAAGCAGGGCTGTCCAAACATTTTGTCACATGGACCAAAATCATAAAGTCAGAAGGACTTGCGGGCCAAAAATATGTTTCCTTTACCTGCTCAGCAATAAACTAAGCGTTGAATACTTTAATTAAAACAAATAAAGTAGTCAGATTCATTGCTAGAAATGGATGCATGAACTAATCTAGATCCAGAACGTCTCTCTTTTGTTGAAAATGCTTTCCGCATTCAGGCAAATTTAATAAATTAATTTAAAGCAGATCGGAGTGCAGCAAAATCAGATTTTGAGTAGAAGTCACTGTGGAAAAAGCTAAGAGCCTGGTTATTTAAAAGACAAATATTTGGAATTGTTGCCAACATTTTTTTATGTAAGATTTTACTTTGTGATAAATTTGCCCTAATGATAAATATAAAGTCTCCATTTAAATCAAACACCTGTGCTGGGGGGACAAATTTGTAAACAAGTTAGTATAATTTTGGAACTGAAGTCAGGGGCCACACAAAATCAGTTCAGGGGTCACGAATGGCCCCCGGGCCACACTTTGGACATCCCTGTTATAAAGCCAAAAACCTCCTGAACAGAACACAGTACCTGAGGTGAGTTTGCTTTTGCAGTGTAGCCTTTATAATCAATGTGCCCCAGTTTTTCTTGTAAGTACAACTGGATCCAGTTGTGAAAGCCGATGACAGTCCGACCGCCTCTTGTCTCCCCGACAAATACATGCTCAAACCCTGAAGAGTCTGGCCTGAAGGCAAAAACAACTCATTCTTTACGTTTCTGTCATGCAGAGCCAGCAGAAGTGATTTTTAGATGTTTTTAACAGCTGCCACCCACCTGCTGGAGCCTCTCCTTGCATAGAGCTCAAACCAGATCCTGTACAGCTGCTCCTTGAAAGCTGTGTCATCTTCAGGAGAGAGACGCTTCTCCACCAGGTATTTATGGGCGATCTGAAAACAGTCGAAACAAACTATTAAGCGTTGCCATTTTATTTTATTAATCTCAGTTGAAACTACACTTTTGTAAAATAAAAGAAAAAGAACTCTCCAACCTTCATAGTGGAGGTCTGAACGATGGAGTCCAGGAACTTGTGGTTCTCTGCCACCTCCTCAGGAGTCACGATCTCTGGCTCACCGGTGTCACTTTCATAGTTATCCAGAAGGGAGATAAAAGCTAAGGAGATGAAAATATATGCAATAAGTATTGAGATTATTAAAAAGAAATAATACTCATAAAATGAAGAGAAATATTATGTTTGTTTAAATGTAGCTCTCAGTCATTTCAAGACTTTAAAATAAAAGCTGTTTTTGTTTGGTGTTTAAAAAACTGCTACCAGCCTGTTGCACCTGTTACAGCTGCAGCCACTTCTCTCATCAGCATTTGGGTCTGGTTTTCCCTGTGCTTCTTTGTGTCTCCTTGTGTTGCTTCCAATTTTATTAGTTATGATGTCACGACGGCCTTTTGTTTTTACAAAAGTAAACCTTAAAAAATGAAAGCTACAGAACACAGAACCTACTACACTAATTTATCCCAATATACCTGTGATAGATGCAGCAGATCCSCCGCCACTATTTTGTTTTGGTCATGCCCCAAACTTATAAACTTCTGGAATAAAATATTTGATACTCTTTACAGGGCGTACCACCTGGAGGCTGACCCCAACTCACTCTCTGCCCTTTTGACCTCTAAATCTCACGGTGGAGGCCAAACATCCTACTGCACTCAACAAAATCTGCTCCTGTCCTGTCACCAATGGGTCAAACAGGCCCTGCATAACTTAAAATTTGACAGGCTGAGGTTCTCTTTGAAAGGGCATTAATTTTTTGATTTTTTTAATAATACCTGAAACCCCCTATTGCCCGTTTTTGATTCATTACATCATAAGAACCCGATACTTAAGATTCATTAGCATAGAACAGTATTTCCCAAAGTGGGGTCCTGAAACATCAAGGTGGGGTCCTGAAAAGATTTTCTGACTTAGTTACATTTTTGCCTTAGTTGTTACAAATGAGTGAGGTTAGTTTATTTAAAATGGATAAATGTAGTATAAAAATATTGTTACTATGCCCATGTTTTGTTGACCTGATACAAATGTTTATCATCCAAAAATAGTTGGGGCACAGGTCTCTGCTACTGTTATTTTGTGGGTCAAAAACTGAAAAGTTTGGGA